TTTTTTGGGCAAATATAATAATAATGGCAAGTATTTTCATTTACATACGAGAACTCAAGCAATTTTGAGCATGTATGTACGAACCCAGGTCAGGATTCCGTTCCTGATTACTGAACTGAAAATAAAAAACATTAAAATGCCTTTAATTGTTCTGGTTACATACAAATTTAATCTTGATAAAAATCAAGACAATCAATAAGATTGTTAACTATCTTATACAATGTGATTAGCACAAAGTATTCTCTGCGATTTTTTAATGAAGAAAAGTTAAACCTCCTTAACAAGTCATCATGTGGAAAACCCTGCTCGGGATAAAAACCAACACTTTTATATTTTAAAAATTTCCGCTGTATTCCCTCCAAGTTGTTAGCGTAGACATCATTGCTCGGAGCCCAAACAACTGCCGCATATTCCAATTTAGATCTAACATATGATGTGTAAAGTATTTTAATTACATCACAATTTGAGAAATCACGTGTACATCGTACAATAAAATCAAATGATTTTAATGCCTCAGAAATAACAGTATTTATGTGATGAGAAAAAGATAGTTTTGTGTCAAATAGGACACCTAGATCTCTAAACATATCTACTCTAGAAATACGATTGCCATTCAGTGAATAGTGATATGCAGTTGGCGTCTTTTTTTTAGTAAATGACATACTATTGCATTTTTTAATGTTTAATTTAAGACCGTTTGATATACACCATTCACCAATCACCTCAAGATTTTTTTTGAAGTTCGATACAGTCCTGTATACATTCGACTCTTTTATACAATTTTACGTCGTCAGCGTATAACAAAAATTTTGCATTGAGTTTATGGCCTACGTCATTAATAAAAATACTGAAAAGAAGTAGACCTAACACGGAACCTTGTGGCACGCCTGATACTGCAACATATCGAGTTGATTTAAAGCCATGAATTTCAACATATTGAGTACGACAATTAAGATAAGACTTAAACAACGCAATTAAGTCATTAGAGTGACCAAACTGTGAAAGCTTATTGAGCAAAAGATGGTGATCTAAGCGGTCGAATGTTTTAGTGAAATCAAGATATATATATCAGTATGCTGATACGGTGAGATTAGATTTTTTTGTTAAAGAAAAAATTGAATCATGAAGCAAAAACTCGAATACCTTGCAAAAATTACGTATAATTGACACTGGTCTATAATTATTAACATCAGATTTGTCACCTTTTTTATATATAGGACTAACTTTAGACTTTTTCCAAATATTAGGTATTGTTTTGGATTTTAGACGGAAATTAAACAACATTTGTAGAGGTTTGCTAAAAACAAACCTACAGTCGCGAATTAAAAACGGTACAAGATCCGGTCCAGCTGTTAATTTGGGTTCAACTTTTTCATAGCGCTTACTATGTCTTGTTCTGAGAAAGACTGAATGTTAATGGTAGGCGCGTAACAAACATTTTAAAAAATCAAATTTATTGAGGTATCATGCGAAAACGACTGTATAAGTCCGCAAAAGAATTTACAATTTCAGGTAGAGACGTGATTGTGTTTGTACTATAATTCATAGTAGTAGGTATGTTTGACAATTGCTTCTTTTTGTTTATAAATGCCCAGAATCGTTTTGGGTCACTTTTGATATCGCGTTCAGACTTTGTTATGAATAAATTATAAGGCTCCTTTATATTGGATTTTATTTTATTTCTCAACCTTTTAAAATTATCCAACTGCATAGCATCTCCAGTTATTTTAAATTTTTTGTTTGATAGTTCTAATGATGTCACGTGAGAACCAGGGAGGATATTTACTTTTTCGAAATTTACCGTACCTTGGCACAAAAGCATCGAATATTTCATATATTTTATTATAAAGACAATAACTATACAAATGAAAAATTTCAAATTAACTTATTTTTACAAGGATTTAGAAGTATTTAACAACAGCCCACACATATTTCGTAAAATAGATACATTATAGTGCTTAAAATTTATAAAAAACGGTATAAAAGAATATTCTTAAATATAAAGTAAAAATTTAACATTAGCTGTTTTTCCTAATGCGCATGCTTGGAAAGAATAGCCTCATATGGAGGTGAGATCTTGTTGCTATATCATCGTTGTCATCATTAGCATATTTTCTTTTCTTTTGTTTAATCTTGGCATTTTCTAGTTATACCAGTATTTTTTATTGTTTTTCTTGGTGCTCTGCTGTGTCAGTCTGTTTATCGAGATTTTTTTTCCAGGTGGTTTATTATAGACGTACTCTTAACCCGAACCAAACTTTTCTTGAATGGTATCCTGTTGTGAGGCTATTTCGCTTAGATGAAATTATCGTTAATGCGCATGCTCAGTAAGATTGATATAATTTTAATTTATTAATTACTATAAAAATCAATATTGCTCTATAAATTGAAAAATGTAAATTCTATAATTCTTTTAGTTTGTCACTTGGAGTGTTGGGGACGCTGGCTGCTATAACACAGCGTGTTAGCTGCATAGAGCTGTTTTTGGATGTGACGCGACGGCAGAAACTTTGAAAAGTGAGGTGATTTTTTTCTTTGCCGCTCCGCGTTGTCCTGGAAGGTTTAGGTTGATTAGCATGGATAGGGTGGTTTGTGGCTGTTTAGAGCGAATCTCCGCAGAATTTTCGAAACTGAAATAAAATTTCAATTTTTCGCGCCGCATTATCTGAATCGCCACGCTAGAGCTCCCCGGGACATCGTCCTCGGTCGATTTAGTTTGAGGCGTTTTTTTCCAGCTTTATGGTCCCGGATGAAAGTGTGGTGAATTTTCTAAATAACTCGGGACTGGTAAAAGACAATAACTTCCCCAATGCAATTAAAATAGCTTAATTATTTTATAGAAGAAAATGTATCTCATTTACTCAAATGCTTATTTAATTTTACTGAGTCTACTATTAATTCTAATTATGAACGAATTTGGTATCTTCTATTTATATTTTAACATTGAAGGGTAAAGACTTCATTAAAAGGCATGTGTAAAATTAAGTAGTAAGTACAGAATTTTGGCATTTAAATAAGTAGGCAGTTTGATTCTTTACAGAAATTGCATAGTATATATTTTTTAGTGTTACTGACTCATCATCTGTCTTTATATACAGGGTGATTCATTAACAATGGGAAAGTCGAAAGCTGAAGATACTACACGTGAAATGGTGACCACTGGCGCAAACATGCCTTATCCAAAAGTTGATAGTTTCGGAAATACAGGGTGTTGAAAGTTAAAATTTTAAATCGTTTTTTTGCGATTATTCTGAAAATATGTAGGTTAGGAACTTGAAAATTTGTGAAACTATATTTTTTTAGGCGACGAATAAGATGCGTGTTGTAATTTCAGCATTGCTCATAGAGGGCGCCACTTACGACCAATTTTACCGAAAATTTAGTTAATAACTTTTTACCCTGTATGTCTAACATGAAACTTGATTCAAAACCTGAAAGAGCAATCATTTTTCCATTAATTGTGTATTCTTGTTTCATTTCGGTATCTCGATCCGTTTTCGAGAAAAATCGATTTAACGAACACTATGTTTTGATAATACGAGAAATTAAAAGCGAAACAAACCAAGTGTTTCTTCGTGTTATTACAACAATTAACAATAAAACAAATGAAATTCGTAATAATGATTTAAAGTCAGTGTTCGAAGAATCCACCGTTGACATTTACACACTTTACACAACGTTTTCTGAGAGATCTTCGAGTTTGAAACAACATATTGGGATTGCGTTTGACTTCGTTGGCAGCGATTTGTATTCTTTGCCACAACTCTTCACACGAACCAATAGATTCTTCCAAATAGAAAAATGAAGAGGATTGAAGTCCGGACTTCTGGGTGGCCAAGTAAAAATGCTTCCACGGCTTGAAGAAGTTCCACTTTATTTAAGAAGAGACATGTGGTTCATGCACGACGGAGCTCCACCGCATTTTTCTTGGCCAGTGCGTGCATATTTAGATGCAGTTTTTCCAAATCGCTGGATTGGCCATGTAAGCATTTTTGCTTGGCCATCCAGAAGTCCGGACTTCAATCCTCTTGATTTTTCTATTTGGTCTCGAATGAAAGATATAGTTTACAAAGAATCTATTGGCTCGTGTGAAGAGTTGTGGCAAAGAATACAAATCGCTGCCAACGAAGTCAGACGCAATCCCAATATGTTGTTTCAAACTCGAAGATCTCTCAGAAAACGTGTAAAGTGTATCAGTGTCAACGGTGGATTCTTCGAACAATTACTTTAAATCATAATTACGTATTTTATTTGTTTTATTGTTAATTGTTGTAATAACACGAAGAAACACTTGGTTTGTTTCGCTTTTAATTTCTCATATTATCAAAACATAGTGTTCGTTAAATCGATTTTTCTCGAAAACGGATCGAGATACCGAAATGAAACAAGAGTACATAATTAATGGAAAAATGATAGCTCTTTCAGGTTTTGAATCAAGTTTCATGTTAAATATACAGGGTAAAAAGTTATTAACTAAATTTTCGGTAAAATTGGTCGTAAGTGGCGCCCTCTATGAGCAATGCTGAAATTACAACACGCATCTTATTCGTCGCCTAAAAAAATATAGTTTCACAAATTTTCAAGTTCCTAACCTACATATTTTCAGAATAATCGCAAAAAAACGATTTAAAATTTTAACTTTCAACACCCTGTATTTCCGAAACTATCAACTTTCGGATAAGGCATGTTTGCGCCAATGGTCACCATTTCACGTGTAGTATCTTCAGCTTTCGATTTTCCCATTGTTAATGAATCACCCTGTATAATTCAAAAATGTATATTTCACTCCAGGGAATATGTATGTGTCATTTATTGCATTAATAAATTTACTTGTTTTTTCCCTTCATTTAGGTACGTCATATCACCGCTTTCCAAAAAAAAAATAAGGAAGCATACTTTTTGTAGAAATGTTACAACGTAACAAAGCACAGATTTCTTATTCTTCTCAAAAATACTAAGTACTGGGGCTACTCATAAGTACCACGATAAGAAAACAACGGTTATAATTATAATACTTTTATTAAAGACAAATATCACAATTGCTACCGTAACTAAACCCTCTTCTATAAGTCTACTTCACTTTTACTAAAGAATTCGCTTTTCCGTACTTGTAATAGGCCAGAAAAGGAAAACATTTCATCAACCACAGTGCGATAATCTGGATGTAGTTATGAGTAATCCTCAGCACATTGAACTGCAAGGACCACAAAGTGTACAAAATAAAATACAGTTTAAATTTCTTCTGCCACGTCAGCAAGTTGAAACCGGGCTGTGAATGTACGTTACTGTTATCCTCTAAAGCCATTTGTAGGTACAGTGTGAACACTTTAAACTCTAGAATTGGATTCATCGTCCACAGCCCATTTATTAAAGCGCTCGACATTTTTTTGAAGTGTTTGGAGGGGCTTTTCAGTCTCGGACGGAATACTTTTTCTATAAGCAGATTACAAATTTCTTTGGTTTCAGCGACTGATTCCCTACAAATGTTGAACCTGGAATAACGAAATAATTTAATCTGTATTAGTAAGAAAACGGCTTCTTTAAGGGTACGAAATTATTTCTCATGCAATGTTTCATTTTTTTCTGTACCTATAGGTATTCAACGTTAATATTTCCAATACTAGGGCTCACAGTGAGATACAAACTTTTTTGTTTATAAAATCTTAATTAGAGTGTAACCGAGTGTAAGTTATTTATCTTGAAGTACACTTTGCACTGAAAGTTATTCTAAATTTGAAATAAGGACTTTTCAATTTTCATATACCTAATATTTTTGCTGTCAAATTAACTGTATATTTTGCGGTCACCTGAGATATTTCAATTATTCCTTGTAAGAGATGTAGACAATAACATGATCTATCCATCCATTACTTAAACACGATTTGAACAAATACTGACATAACGATTTTTGCAAAAGTGTCAATTTTTCTAATCAAAAGAGAGTAGCAAATAAACTTATGCAATGTATACCTGTAGCAATCGTCGAGATTTAATTGTGCGGATAAAAATCAAATCATTTTACATTCATACGTCAGATAACTTTGTACACATCATTTTGTTCGAGCAGATCATAATTTTGAATTAATGAAATCATTCTTCAGTAAAGGTTATTTTTCATAAGTGAAATAATTTTACTGAACTCGGGGATAGCTTATCCCTACAAGGTCAGATTTCGGTCAAGTCAAGATCATTTCAAGGTCAAAGTAAAGAAAAAGGCCTTTCACGAATGTTAATCTGTAAGTATATATGCTTTTGAGGTCGCTGAACCTGATTTCGGGGATAGCTAAGCCCCATAAGATCACCTGGAAATCAAGTCAAGGTCATTTCATTTGACTTAATCTCAATTCAAGGTGACCTTATAAGGCTAAGCTATCCCTGAATTCAGTTGCCCCCCCAAAAAAAATTATATACACTCTGGTTGAAATTCAATACAAGCCTTTTCTTTAGTTTGATCTTGAAATGACCTTGAATTGACTTGAAGGTGACCTTTAGGGTTACGCTATCTCCAGATTCAGATTCTGTGAGCCCAAAAACCTATACACTCACTGGTCAAACTTCAGTACAAGTCTTTTCCTTAGTTTGACCTCCAGGTGACCTTAAATAGCTAAGCCATCCCCGAATTCAGGTTCAGCAATCCCAAAAGTATTGTACCTACTGCTCAAAATTCACTACATGCCCCAGTTTTTGAATCCATCAACTTGAAACTTCGTGATGCTTAACTCAGGCCTACAGCCAAAATCACATGCTTCCCCCCCTTTATCTCTGAAACTATGCATAGGATAACTTTGGGCCCATGACAACTTTTGTTCAGAAAGTCAAAAACTATAACCTACTGCAATTTCAGCAAACTCGACTGGGACCCATTTTCCATTGATTTTGTGCGGGATTCTTTTGATTCTTGTTAATTCAAGATTGGTTAAACAGGTATACCAAAAAATGTGTTACGCCTTTTTCTGTGTTATAGTCAAAATCTAACTAACCTCTCCTCAATACCCAAAACGTGTCCCACAGTTCGCCACAGGTGTATAAAGCCTTTCAACTCTTCTTCCGAAGCACAGTGCACACCCATCATTCTGCTTCTAACCAAACCAAAACCCATAAAACCAAACTGGGTAAGGGCCATATCCTTTTGTGTTATCCTGTACTTCAGACATGCACAGCTTCGTTTGCTGGCCGAATTATGAAGACCTCTCACAGTTCCAATCGAGTCCCACGATCTGCAAAAAAGTATATCCATGTTTATATAACTTATAGTTCAGAAATTTAAATTTTCGTAATATGGAATTTGTACAGATTGGTCCAAAATTATCATATAATTTTTTTTTTCTTATGACACCATAAGAAAAAAAACATTGAGAGATGGCAAATGTGGTTAAAACTACACTAACAGATATACGCGTTATTCTTTATTAGAATTCTACTCGTAAATCCCACTATTAGAACATTGTATACTATATGTGACAGTGACATAACCAAGTAAATATGTTTTATAAATGTATTAAACTGTTGTATACTCTATTTAAGTTAAACATTATATTATGACATTAAATTTCCAGGAATTGTATTGTACGGGTATTGTACACGTATAAGTATAAGCTGAAATTCTAATGTAAACATATAACAAACATTTAAGTATAAAAAATGATGACAAATCGCTTCCAATACTATCCAGCTGATCTTCTTACACCCGTGTCTTCGTGCATTACATTATATTACATGGGAATTTGCACTATAACTCTTCCTTACTAAGAATGAATCATGCTCTAAAAGGCTAACATTCTTTTCTTCTAATTCTATTTTCTCTGGTTGATTAACTCAAGAGCCTTAAAGGTTGCTTGCGGTATGCAGCAAAATAAAATTCTCTCAACAGTAAAAAGTAAAACTATTTTTATTGAAAAAGAAGTGTTGCGCTGGAGAGTTTTGTATGGAGTAGCTCGCATGTATATGTATCTGGTCCTGGCGCCAATCTGTCGTGGACCTTTCCTGGAGCCCTGGTGCGTCCCGCGTCTGTTCTTTGTCCTTGCAACTATTAGACGATCCGGCGTAAGGCTGGCGTGCTTGATTTAATACTTAAAATGGGTCACTTGCGGACATTTGTCCCACATCTTTAAAAAAATTCATTTAAAAAATTCTACATTTGTTAAATTACTTACCACCTCCCGATCGGTAAGTAATTACTTACCGATCGCTAATTTGTAAACGTCAATTGCAAATGTCTCAACAAATTCAATAAAGGTGTCAAATTACCTGAACACAAAAAAGTACTTAATCATAGTGTTGACAGCGTAGATTATAAAACCAATGATTATTACTATTGATTATACCGCAATGTGAGAAATAGTGTAAAAAATAAAAATGTTTTATACAAATTATTCTAAAAACGCCTATGTAAATAAAATAATTAAGTAACATTTGAAAGAAATAAAGAACAATTGTAGTAAATTTCTTTGAAGGTTAAATATTAACAATATTAGCAATATGACACGTGTGTGCTTTTTATTAGTACAATATGAACATACCTTGTATTAGCTTGTTTATATTATTTTTTCTGTAGTAAAGAACAATTGTAGTAAATTTCTTTGAAGGTTAAATATTAACAATATTAGCAATATGACACGTGTGTGCTTTTTATTAGTACAATATGAACATACCTTGTATTAGCTTGTTTATATTATTTTTTCTGTAGTAAAGAACAATTGTGGTAAATTTCTTTGAAGGTTAAATATTAACAATATTAGCAATATGACATGCGTGTGCATTTTATTAGTACAATATGAATATACCTTGTATTAGCTTGTTTATATTATTTTTTCTGTAGTAAAAACGTAAGAAAAGTTCACATAAACAAATGTATTAAAATGGGTTATTTAAAAATTAGACCTAAAAATAGGCTTTTATTTTATATTTTTAAAATGGCTGCTAACGGGATATGAATTTGAGTACACGAATTGCTGAATAATATCTACATATAATTACGAATTTACAAAAGATTAGTATTTTAATTAATGAACCTTGAAACACTTTGTATCCCCTTAATAATATAAATAAATTTGTACTTGACTCAAAACGATGTTAAATTTTATTTAAACTCGATAATGAAATAAAAAATATTTTTATTATAAAATGCAATAAAAAGCAAAATAATTATTTATATTTGATTCATTTGTTGTTTGAGTTTATCTGCATTATTTTTAGATACTGAGGAAATGCCAACACAGAATTAGCATTGTTTTCTTCACAGTTGATTATTTAAAACTGACCTTTCCAATACTTGATATGACAAGGCTGTGGATAATTTTTAACCTTGAAGCACTGCATTAATATATTGTGCAGTCAACGAACTCGAATATTATGAATATTTATTAACTACTGAAAATGATGTTTAATTATGAGAACATAGTCTATAATAACTATGGAAATTATTTGAAAATTATTTATTTCTCAATAGTATTAGTTTTCGTTACTGTCAAATACACATTTATCTCCTTAAAATAAGATAATTGTTCAGAAAATTGACGCTGTAATGCATAAGTTAATTTTAATTTTAATGAAGACATTTGAATATGAATATAACAGTCACAGTTATTCTGTTCTGAAGAAACCCGGAGTGTTTTCTGAAGAAAAACCGAAGATACGTCAACCTGGGAATTGTTCAACCGTTGACAACTGTTACGGAGACCTGTAAACAAATCTAGACAAAAATAACGCATGCCATTTGTAACTTGGTGGTCTTTAAATACAAAAATATACAAAATCACCGATGTTTCCAAAATTCGAGCCTCGAGCCTACAGGACGAGAAATACTAAGCCTAGAGTCCTTCGTTCCATCAAACGATGACGACGACCCTTGCCAAACCTACCCCCGAGGTCGCTGACGAAAGCCAAGAACAGAAAAAATTTTTGACTCACTTTCAAAAAATAAAAAAAAAATTTGGCTTCAAATTCAATCTTCGATATGACCTTCGTGTCCATACTAATATTGTCTAATTACAGACTTCTAACTTCACACGGACAGAACTACAATCCAGGAACACAGTCATCCCCAATCCTGAATGGAGTGACACTAAACGGGACCATGCAACAGGCAGACTACGGGAATCCACCCCCACCAGCGAGTGAAGCGCGCCCTGGCCAGTTGCAGTTATTTAACCAGAACCTATGTGCCTGGCCAGGGTGCGCACTCGACAAACAAAGGAATTTGAAACTGCTGCTTTTCTGCATAAATGAACTATATCTGAAACCGCTCCGAGTTATTATTTTTCTTTAAAAAAATTATAAATCCGAGCTCAATGTTCTCTCAACTATACGCCGCAGTTCAAGCTTTCTACAAGCTTCTGTACCGGTACTCCACGGAATCCGTACAACAGTGTATAAACTTTAGTGTGTAAGAGACAGTGATTTCCAGACACTAGGGTGTCAGACCCGCAAAGTGAAAAAAAACCCGAACCATAAATTTTTCAAAGCGCCCAAAGTGCCCGATCCCATTGTGAGGATCTACGACCTGCTCATGATGCTCAGACGAGAAACAAATAGGTCATCTCCACCGAGAACTAATGGAACCCAGCAAAATCCACATCCTGGCGCCCAATGTGCGGCCACGACCGAGGACCTATTTGATACTGCGACAATATGTTTAGAGTACCAGTTGTGTGTTCATCAAAAATAAGCACCAGTTTTTGCTAATTCGGCCAATTTTTTGAGGATAGAAAAATATGACGCGACGATGCAATTCAGCTGCTCAGAATACATGAAGATAGGGTACATTAGACTCCTTTTATATGCCTGGTTTTTGTCCAAATTAATAACTGATATATGTGTCAGCTTTATAATTTGTTTTAGCAAATACCATTTATTTCATTATCAAATATGCAGATGAACGCAAACAATTTTATTTCATATGCATATTCAACACATTGACAAGTTTTTTGGTGTTTACTGACTTTAAGGCCAGTAATTTATCTAGAGGTTATCTGGGGTATAAAATGTCACGTCATGTCATAAAATTAATTATTGTTGAGTTTTTCCCTAGGCTAGACAAATTTCATTACCTAAGTTTAACCACGTATTAAAACGCATTCCTAAATATGCATGAGTACTATAGTAGGATCGTATTTGATGCAAAGTAGAGCAAAAAGTTGTCGGTCTTTTATCAAAGGAAAATCGTGTCATCATTTTTAGGAGGCGTAAGATAAATCATTTCAAATTTAAAATGAAATTCAATGTAAAATATGAAATACCGCTGCATACGCACTGTTTTCTGGTAGTAGCTGTAGTCGCCCAGGTGCATCGAGTGTACGAACTGGTCGGTTATACGTCAAATACTAACCTGGCGAGCTTTGTCGTCAATTAGAGAGCGCTTCCAAAAAACAAGTAAACAACAGTGGCGCGTACAGAGGTAAAATGTAGTACATATGTGGAATTTAGGAAACAAATTGGATTTATAATAAATTACATTTAAAATAAATAGTTTATGAGAATAAAGGAATTTTTGTAGGAACAAGGGTGCCAGACCTGAACTGATCCCTTCGTCCCTTCATAATGTATAAAGAAATTATCCAATTTGTAATACCCTTAAAAGCGTACTTCATTGGTTCCCTTGACAGGCAATGATTTATTACTTTACATCGAATATGATCCCACTATACAAATATATAAAAAAAAATAATCTCTATAAATTCAAGCAAATGTAAAACGCGAACAATATTTAAAAATGAAAAACTGAAATTAACGAATGTGACAGCATATATTTTACAACAAAGGAGAGATGGAAATCGTTATATTATTTTTATTTTCAACCGAGTCGACCGACAGTAAGGCAAGAAATTTAGATCATTTTGTTAGAGTAGCGGATTTATCGAATTAAACTGAACATTTAATAAATACAAGTGGGGAAAAAAGACTGCGAGTACATACACATTTTAGGTACATCCTGATACAACTGTTAAAATTGCCAAAAATATCAATGCAATATCACTACATGTGTAACTTATACAGTTTTCAGATTGATCTCTTCACAAAAGAAAAAAGTATAATTTTTTTCGATATTATGAACAAACATTCGTGGTAAAATACAGAGTATAACTGAAATGCGCGACCAAACTACAATGGCGGATTCTACATTATTAATTAACAAAAAAAGTTCCTATAAATTTGTTAGAAGACGCTTAATTTTCGATATACCAAGTGTTCAAATCTAATGGCAATATAGGTGCAATTT